GATATGGTCTTTTCTGGTATTGGTGAGGGTGGATTTGGGTTTTCTCTCAAGCAATTCATATTAATCAACTGATGCTCTATGCTACCTAACGTAAAATCCTATTGCTAAATAGACAGGTATTCATTATTGCCCTCCCATGTGGTTCGAAGATTAGTGCATGATAGCAAAAATTAAATAAATCTGTGGAAGGGTCAAAGTGGGTTTTCCCTTTAAATTTTATTCTAGTACTTAAATAAACGTTTTATTTTAATGATTCTCTATTTGTTATTTTGTCCTCCTTATATGGTTGTAACAGTGTTTCTTGTTCCATTAGCCTCGTGAATAAAGCTTGGTGGAGGAAGTCCAAATCCTTCGTATAGCATTTCATAAGTTTCATCACCATCGTTCGAATCAGTTTGCCCGACATTCACATTGTGTGGCACAGGTGATGACAAATTCTTCCCATGAAAAATCCAACTGGTGTAACTTGGAAGAAACCCGTTGATCATTAAATGTTCCCCTAACAGGCCTTTCTCCACCAATTTGACATTACGACACCGTTTACATGGGCATGTGACTTCATTCAACAATGGCTTATTTTCGCATGCAAATTTAATAAATTCCTTAACCCCTTGTATGTATTCCGGGTGCAACCTATGTTGATTTATCCAACTTTTATCCATCTGACTCTGTCTTACACTACAAATGTCACTGCCAAATCAACAAAGTTCAAAATTACCGTTCCGTTTTAATTAATCTTAACCTCAATTAAGTACCTTATAATGCATGCAATATGACATCATTCACCTCTAACTGGTCTCTAATATGTTGGTTCATCCTACTTTCCCATTCAGGAATGCACAGTCTATATTGTAAAAAGTAGCTCATACCGCTCTGCTCATCTCTAACGAAATTTCGGCAGCATCTCCCCATGGTTCTCCAAGTACACGACATAGACTAGGTGTACTGCTTGTCTAGTATGCACTCGGAGAACACGAGGAGTTGCTACACGAAATCTCTACGAGATGGACTATAAGCAGTAGAACTACTAATTACAATACAGACTTGTGCTCCTGAACTGTCCAACTGGACAATCCAAGAAGAGCTTCATTAAAGATGACTAGGTATCTCTAATGAAGATTCTTGGACGGGTCTAAGGCTATTTATGCATGCATGCACCATTAATGATTGCATCCCGGTGGTGCAATCTAAATTAGTACTATCAAACATACTAGAAGCATATCTAGTATAAAGCATATTAATGAAGAAACCAAAAGTTTCTACAATGCTCTTGATAGATTATGATAGATTCAAGAAATATATTGCTCTCTCAAATCAATCAATAATGGAATAATTTTGGCAGGAACTCATGGATGTGGGAAGTTCAAACCCACTACCCAAACCAATAAGTGTACCAAAGATCGAATACTTCTAATGATGATGATGATGATGATGATTCAGAAACATCAAAGAGCAACCACCAAATGAGGAATCACATTCACAATCACAATTACAATCACAATCATATTAGTTGAGGAATCACAATCACAATCACAATCATAGTCATCCACGTTAATAACTATGAAGAAAACTTGTTTGAATTGAAGACCAAACTTCACCATATAATACTACAAATCAAGACAAAATTACATACAAGTTAATTGTATCCTACACTCTCTCAAATTAATCTATCATGGCATTATAAAATTAGAAATTAATTAAAGGGTTAATTAGTAAAATGTCTATTCCTATATGGTCATGTGTTATCCAAGATTAATTTTTCTTTTTTATTTTTTCTGATAAGGATATGTTTTACTGTTCATTCTATTCTATGATCCTTAGAAACCTATATGGTCATGTGTTATGTCCAACATGGAATGCCTGTGAACCATTCTATTCTATGATCCTTAGAAACCTAATAATATTGACAAGTTGAAAACACTTTGAACCATCCTAACAAATTAACAAGATTCTACCTACCATCGGCCCCGGATCAATAATGCTACGATTACTAAATTTGAGCTTCTAATTTTGATTACTATTCGATATTTCATTAATACGTTAGTATAAGATATGAAATGTACAAATCAGATGGTATCCAAATAGCCATTACATAGCAAGAGAGATTTCAAGTACAACAATGAAAGCAAAGCCCTGAGCCCAAATTCAAAGCTTCAAATGCAAAGATGACTTCATAAATGGTCACCCCTTTAATTTTCCATCTCCAAAAATACCCAAATTTAGTCACTAGTCACAACAGTAACAACCAAAACCCTAATTTCAGAACCAACAATGCCTTACAAATCAAATGAACATAAACCACGAACTAGTGATATTAGTACGTTTACCTTGTTAGTTCTTCTTTTTCTTCTTATTCTTCTTCTCTTTCTTTGAAAGGTGAACCTATATTTAATAAGAGCAAGTATTGTAATTAATAAGATATGTTATTTGTCAAAAAAGCTTTGATTAAATGATTGCTCACCTCTTGGGATGAAAATGCATGAGATTGTTGTTGATGTGACATTGGCCGAACAGTGGGATGACTACTAAGTGAATCCACAACCTATCATTCAATAAGAGACTTAAATTGTATATTAGCTCTAGGCAATTTAAAGTAATAACTAGTAAAAATAATTAAAATACCTGCTGCCTATGTAATGGGTTTGATGGTGCAACAACTGGATCAACGGGCACGCCTGCAGCTTGCAATTGAGATTCCAAAAATTGAATTCGTGACTGAAAATCTGTGCGTATAGCCTGAATTTGTTTCTCCATTACTTCATTCATCTTCGACTCAAACTGCATTTGATACCGTTGAAGTTGCTCTTGAACTTGTTCTTGAACTTGAGTTTGGAAGAGACGATTCTGCTCTTGTGACCGCCTATATCCACCTCCAAAAACATCAGTGGGTGACGGTCCCAATCCAAACGTCCGAACACGACCAGGTCGCTCTGGGCCCATAATTTGTGTGAAGATTTGCTCCTGTAATGCTGCAGGGTCAGTAGAAGATCCCTCCATGTGCTCTGCTAACTCATTCATTTGAGTCTGCAAGTTTGAATTCAATAATTAGCCTCCAATATAAATATAAATCATATTAAAAGTCCATAGATAAAGTAGTATCACATACCATAACATCATTAACAATGAGGTTATACCTGGGTGTTGTGACAGTGGAGCTTGCACTAGCTAATCTTCTCTATTCATTTGACAGAGAATTGCCTGTTGGGAAGAAGAAAGAGGACATAGACACTGAGGTTATACCTGGTTTAACAATGCACACGAAAAATGCGCTTTGCCTTGTAGCTAGAAACTATAATTAATAAGTACGAGAATTCTCCATCTCAAAATCAGTTTCGTTTTGCTCCTGATGCACTATCAATTATGTATAATGGTGCCTACTTTTGTGTTTCAAGATTCTCACTACATATCATGCAGCTAAAAGTATACTGGGAACAGAGAGATAGAAATTTTGGAATAAAGGATCCCTCTATTAGATATTCCTAAAATAAACTTGCATGAGTAAAAAATGCCATGTAGCTTGTAGCTATGATTAGTGACCACAACTTATGATCATCTGTCCTAAAATTTCCAATAGGCACGTGTATATGTATCTGGGTGTGTTTGTACACAAAGAGAGACATGGATTACATATAGCAAATCAAATCAAACTGGAAGAATTGATATGGTCCCTTGTAGTAGAAGAGTTGCAGAGATCCGTAAAACAGTGGTTATGGTACCATGAAGCAGAAATTTATGTGGTGCTTTGAGAAGTTAGTAAAAAACTAACTTTTTGGCTTTTTGGTGTAAAAAAATTAAAAAGTCAAAAAGCTAGCATTTTTAGGAAGGTCCCAAATCTTGATTACATGCATTCTTTATCCAGACAGGAAATATGTAACAAGAAAGTTAAGAAACACAAAATAACAAATCCCTAATATTGTTTTCTCAGTTTGGCCTTGGCAATAATACCGGCACATGTTAAATCTTCCAAGTGACTTTTAACTAACCTCCATCTTTCTGAGGCTCTTCAAATCTCTTTGGTAGGATACTACTTCATTCTCCCTCACTTCAAAGATTGGGAATAAGGTAAGAAGTTAGAAGAGATTTGGGAACCACCCTGTAAGTAGAATTAATGAAAAGCCATTAGATGCATCCCACTAATATACATCAAACATGTAAATACATAACAATGTACAAAAAAAAAAAAGTTCTAGCTGTGGAGTAGAGTGTCTGTGGCGCTGTGTATGCTGGTACTGACAGACTATACCTGACATTAACTTCTGGGTCAATGATATGAGAATGATCAGTGGCTTGATTAATTAGGTACGGACTATCCTCTGACCAAACTCGTGACATTCCTGTATCATCTTCAGCGTTAACAATCATTTACTGCCTTGCGCAGATCAGATTCAGAAAATGGATAAAAGTTACATCAGAATTATATGTGAAAGGTGAAATCAACACAATCTACTACTTACCAAATTCTTTAGTAGCAAAGTATAAATAGAAGATCCCTCCATGTGCAAAAAAAAATGCAACGAGTCCATCGAATGAGAGCACAACACTTACATGCATATCCTTTCTATCCACAGGCCTAAACAAGTAGAGTAGAGGCCTTTTCAGGCTGGGCATATTTAAAAAATGAGCATTCAGATTTGTACACAGGTTCTTCTTTACTTTTATTTTGCTTACACATACACAAACATACAATTATAAGGGAAATTTGGCCAAAACCCCTCCATTTCACCCTTATTTGGTGAAAATGATAACTTAATTTATTTAATATCAACTTTAAAACATATTTCATCCCAAAAGGCTCAATCATCTTTTAGCAAATAAAAACCTTAAAAAGAGGAAACACAGAGAGTGAGAGAAAATTTATAAATCTTCTAAGCTACCTATTTGTAGAACAAACAATAAAACTATTTAAATAAAATACAGTTACAGATCAAAACCATTGAAGCTGGCTACCTGAGAGAACTAAAACAAATAAAAGAGCTATAGATCCGATGCCTAAGAAAAACAAAAACATAGATCGAAATCAAAATCATCCAAAACAAGCTTGAGTCAGACCAATAAAAGAAAAGAGCACCTAGATCAACAATGGAAATCGAAATCCTAAGCAACCGTTTCAGTCAATCGAATGAAATCAAACTAATAGAATGTAAATCAAAACAGATCTAGATTGCTACTGTGCAGTCATGAAAATCTCTGAAGCTCGAGTGAACACAGCGAGTACAGATTGAAAAGCCCTTTCAAAAAGATCCACTGCATTTTTTCAGCGCCGTGTAGAATGAAACCCTAGATAAATGAAAATCAAGGGAGATCGAACAATCTTGAAGAAAATTGGTCAAATCAAGGGAGATCGAACAATATCGAAGAGAGATAGAATAATCTCAAAAAAAATTAGTCAAATCGAGTGCACAAAACAAGATTTCAAAATAAAAAAATAATGAAAAACGATTGAGAGATCTAAGGTTTTGATCTACAATAGACTTACTTGAAATCTTCATCATCAGTTGCTTCGTCAATATCTACAAAGAGAGCTTCATTCGTGCCATTTTAGACAAAGAATAATGTTGGAGAAGGAGAAAGACAGGGGAGAGGGTAATGAATCTGTGACTCTGATGTTTGGAAATAAAAGTTATATTCTATTAGGTTTGAGTATCAGAGGTTTGTTACTTTTTCTTTTTTTAACTCATTAATTAATTGGCAAGGTTAAGCATTAGCGAAGGCACGCGTATTGGAAAACGAGAAATGAAGACGTTTTTCAAAAAACGTCTTTTTCTAAGCGCCGTGACATTGAATTTTTCTTATAGTGCTAGTACTGTTTTGGTGAATAAACACTCCCAAAAATCAAATCAAATCAAATACATATGGCACGATTGATTGGATGCCTTATGTTGGTAGAGAAATGCTTCATTTCCTATTTCATCAATGATTTAAATCATTAAAAAATGCATCACTAATAACATTAATGTATTAGAAATGACAAAAAAAAAAAAAAAAAACAAGGCATAGAAAGTAGACAGGGCCCACTGACACATCATTAATACTCCCTAATGCTCCATTTTTAGTCCTCCCAAACATTTTTCTTTCCTATTTAACTACTCATAATTACATTTTTAATGAAGTGGCAATTAATAATAACTAATTGACTTTTTTTTAAGTCTAAAATCATTTCACAGGAAAGTGAGCTACGGCATTACAAGTGAAATTAAGAATACAAAATTAAAAGAATGTAACACCACTTATATTATTATTAACTCAATATACACTTTATAATTAAATAAAAAAATATCATAATTTTATACTTTTTTAAGTCTTAATCAAATATTACACAAAATATAATTAAAAATTTTATAAATTATAATTAAAATAACATTATAACTAAAAAAAATAACAAACTAAAAAAAAACATATGATACACTTTTCTCTAACAACACCGCTACGGAGTTCAAAAAATCAAAAATGCGAATGACTCGAAATCCTAAAACGATGTCATTTTAGGACTTTTTTTTATTCTCTTACCGGTAAAATAATATTTTCTGTACCATTCGAACCTCAATTTTTCGGACTACGGAGCATTTTTGTTTCCCTAAACGGGTATATATAGGCGGTGTTTGGCAACAATTTTTTTTGGATTTTTTTTTAATTTTTTTCACTAAAAGACAAAGTTTTTACAAAATCAAAAAAAATAAATCTAAATAAAATATCACATCAAACTCCATAATTATTTCACTTTTTCTTTTACAAACATCACATTTAACTATAAAAAAATCCGACTATCTTTTGAAATATAAAAAAATTTCTCTAATAATATCTTATAATTGAAAAAATTTATATAAAAACTCACTTTTCAAATAACCATGTAGAAGTAACATTTCACCATTGAAAATATTAAATCAATGATGCCATTAAATTCGTTGGGTCAACTCGTGATTGACTTGACTCGCGGTTGTGTAAACTCAGCGTTATTCATCATTTTATTTATAAGAGTTTGTGCTTCAACGCCGATGCATCACGTGGAGAACTTATTTGGTGATTGAGCAATGTTATATACTACTAATTTACAATCACTAATACCACTACTAATAAGGTGGTAATTGAGAAAAAAAAAAACAAAAAAACAAACAAGGCACAAAATATATGTGACAGTAGGTGAGATCCACTAAGCAATGTTATAGACTACTAATTTACAATCACTAATATCACTACTAATAAGGTGGTAATTGAGAAAAAAAAAAAAAACAAACAAACAAGGCACAAAACATATGTGACAGTAGGTGAGATCCACTACCACATCATTAGAGCCACCACTATTAGTGGTTTAAAGCATTTTTGTTTGGTGATTATGTGATATGAATGTTCTTATTCTTTTATTTTTAGATAGGAGGACTGTTATGACTGACAGAGCAAAAATTTGGCATTTGGTGATTGGTGGTAGAGTTTGGGATATTCTTAGATGGGTATGACTTCTGTTTAGTCTGGGATCGGACTAGACTATATTGTTGGGCTCGTGGGGATCCACCACAGGTTTCGTTTTAATAATCTGAACCGTTTAATGTGTAGAACTTGTCGAGTACAATATGCCTGTAAAAAATCATATTGATCGGATATCGATAGCTATATAATCAAATCAGTTTTGTATTAAAAAAATTAAACGGTGAACAAATTAACGGTTGACAAAAAACTATTTTGATCACATAGCTATCGATATCCGATCAAGGTGATTTTTTACAAGCGTATAGTACTCGTAGGCCCCCACGAGCCTAACAGTACGGTCCAGTCTGATCCCGGACTGGACAAAAGTCATACCCTTCTTAGATCACCTAATAATTAATCACTTTATAGAACATACAAGTATTGTACCTGGGATGGAGATGGAACACATGACTTTGGCTTATTTTAAGAGGTAGGTTAAAATTAAATTTTTAATTTTTTTTGAAAAAATATATAAAAAAGTAAGATACTTGATGTATTTATCTAAATTTAAAATTTATTTGGTCAAAAGTCCAAATATTCAAATATTTTATGTAAAAGGATAAGTTTAGACATAATAACCAAAATATGATATATGATATATATATATATATATATACATATATTACACGCGCGACCAAACACTCATTCAAAACCTTAACCTGTCATCTTTCTGTCTCTCTGTCTCTTGCTCTTCATAGCACTGGTGAATGCACCAGTGTCTCCGTCTTCCTCCACCATAGTACTTCTTTTACCGTAGCGTCTTCTTCTTTCTCTCTCTCGCCATCATCAAATTCAAGAAAACAATCGCCGAACTCTCACCATCTCCAAACTCTCATCGAACAACTTGATCTCGGGCAACGGAAGTTAGGTTTGTTAATTGTAGTTCCTAGTGGTGAGTCTTCAGATCTGTTGAATCTGTGGCAGATCTGAGATTTGAGGTCTCTCAAATGGATTACGGATTTGAGGCGCTCTGAATGAACAACGTCGGTCTCCTTCCTCCTCTACAATCGTCTCTCTCTCTCTCTCTCTCTCTCTCTCTCTCTCTCTCTCTCTCTCTCTCTTAAATACCATTCTTATTTTCGAACTCTGAGGTTTTGGATAGAAAATCTTGAGATCGATTTCCATAGAGATCAGATATGTCATTAGAGGAACAATTGGAAGAGGAACCAACACACCGCAACTCTAGATCTGTCGCCTTCTTATTCCTTTATTATAGGCAGAGTAGGCGTCGCTAGTGCTGTCCTCGCTCACACCCTCAGCAAGGTGAGATATTCTCGTTTCTATTTGTTTCTTGTGAAAAAATATTATTAATCTCCCCTATTTGTTACCATCTATGAAGTACGAGTGCGGGTACAGATATGGATACAGGTACGATACGGGTATGCCGATACCTCAAATTCTTAAAAAGGTAGGGTACGGTACGACTGTGATACGTCAAATTTTTTAAATTTTTTAAATTATAAATTTACAGCTAAACATCCAGCATACAAATCAAAGATTCAATATCAAAGTTAAAAAGAGAACAATTTGTCTAAAAAGTTATATATAATTTTTTCTTTTTCTTTTTGATTGTTTAAAATAGAATGCAAAAGTGAGCAAAATCATGACTCATGGGTAAAGGGTGTTAGAAATAATTACTTGATATTTTCAAAATTGAAAGAAGAATAATAAAGGCTGCAATAAATTCTAGCAGTTGTAAGGGGAAAAAAAAAATTCACCTCGTCGTACCGATGCCTTACCCACGTTTTACCCAAATGTATTTGCTATACCCAGCATGTATTTAGCGTACCTGGTACGCATACTCGCACCCGGTAAGTACCCGGTACTAATATGACACCATTTTTTGGAGTACTCGTGCTTCATAGGTTACCACAGAAAGAAGTTTTTCTAGGGCATAGTTTGTTTTCACAGTAAAAATTATTGGATGCATTTGATATTTAGCAAGCTGTACAATAATTGTTTATAGTTCACATACGTTTGTGTTGATTAAGGATGGCAATCTGAAATCGGCCTGATGGTGACTCGACCCCCCGGCCCCGAATTCAGTGGTTATTCACTGAAAAATATCCCCTACGGACCGGGGATGGTATTCAAAAATTCATCCCCGATGATATCCGGGCCGGGGACGGGAATAGGTGTTTCAGACCCGGACTCGGCCCGGCCCTGGCCCCGTCCCGCTTAGTCCCCGAGGTAAAATTACCGTTTTTTCCCTGCATATATATATGCTTGTATTTGTTAGGGTTTGACACAGACACACACACTCAGCCTCACTCACACACGGCGCTCATCTCTCTCTCTCGCTCGCCATTGGTCTCTTTCTCTCTTTCATCTGTCACCGCCGCACCTCCCTCTTAACCGGCGATCCTCCGTCACTACCGAGCCTCCCTTACCGCCTCACCTCTGCCGATCCCCTTACCGTTTTGCCTCCCCGTCTCTTTCTCTCTCTCTCACACACACACACACGACGACGGGGCTGTTGGTTTCTCTCCCTCCCCGCTGCTCCTCCCTCACCACCGCTCCTCCGTCACTGCTCTCTCTATTTAGGTATCTCTCTCTCTCTCTAGGGATTTCGATCTAGGGTTTACATATATGTATATATATTATATATATATATGAGTGTATATATATATCTATTTTTTTTCCTCTAAATTTATTTATTATATATATATATATATATATAATAAATAAATTTAGAGGAAAAAAAATAGATATATATATACACTCATATATATATATAATATATATACATATATGTAAACCCTAGATCGAAATCCCTAGAGAGAGAGAGAGATACCTAAATAGAGAGAGCAGCGACGGAGGAGCGGTGGTGAGGGAGGAGCAGCGGGGAGGGAGAGAGAGCAACAGCCCCGTCGTCGTGTGTGTGTGTGTGAGAGAGAGAGAGAGAGACGGGGAGGTAAAACGGTAAACGGCAGAGGTGAGGCGGTGAGGGAGGCTCGGTGGTGACGGAGGATCGCCGTCGGTGAGGAGGGAGGCGCGGCGGTGACAGATCAAAGAGAGAGGGAGAGACCAGCGGCGAGTGTGAGAGAGAGGGAGGAGCGCCGTATGTGGGAGGTTGAATGTGTGTGTCTGTGTCAAACCTAAACAAAAATCAAGCATATATATATCCAGGGACAAAATTGTAATT